ATGAAATCAAGCAGCTACGTGTGGCCAATCAACGTCAAAACGCAAGCAAGAGACAGCTAGATCCTATATTGCTACCGGGGGATTTTAACTGCTGAAGAAGGCCAGCAGCTTGCTCAGCAAGCTGCAGAATTGCAGGCAGAGGTAGCTGACCAAGCTGATATGCAGCCTAGAAGACGTGCACCACCGCGGTGCAGCAACTGCAATATTCAAGGTCATACTAGGGTCAGCTGCCCTAGTAAATAGGCAATTATTTTACATGTAAATAGCTTCAATTTAGGGGTGGTGTGGTGAGATAATTAGATATCTAATAATAATGGCGTTGGTGGGTGTTTCGCTCGGTGATCTGTTTCGCTCGGTGATTGATTACGTTAGTGGTTAATCCTTAGTCAGCACGGCTACCTGCGGTCTCCACCAGTATAGAATGCAGTCTGAGGATCACGGTGGGGTGTCTGGGTTTTCCAATTATTATTAACCATTTTGTAATCAGTAGGGATTCTGCGAATAGCTGAGTGAGAAAGAAGGCAGATGTCAGACTAGCTGGTTTAAAGCAACAGGCGAGCCAGAAATTTTGACTGACTACTAAAGTGTATTTGCAGCCATCTCTATCTATCCCAGGTGCTTTTTCTCCACAAAGACTAGTATCTACTATCTAGATTGCTCGTCTAGATTCAATCCAATAAATGAGGTATATCCTGTGCATTATGCAGACACGTGCACGCCATCCAATGCCATCAACCTACTTACTACGGTACTCCATCACAACGCTCTTCGGCTCGACGTACTTGCCCAACGGCCTGTACTGAATATCGTCATATCCAAACGCCCCCGGCCCTCCGATCGCCATCCCCTTGCGCGTCTGCGTCCAGCGCGGCGAGCACGTAATCCCCAGAACCGTCACCATCACGCCGTACCGGAACTCGGGCACCCCCAGCGCCCGGCCCGACTGCGTGTCCAGAACCGAAATCAGGTCCGGCACCGTCGCGATGTACTTCTCCGTGCCGTCCTCGGCGATGTGCTTAGCGTAGATGTTCTCGTTCTTGAACGGGATCTTGAGGACGCCGCCCGTGGCCACTGCCGGCGTGCTGCTGCTGGTACTGCTGGTGTCCTCCAGCTCGCTGCTCTGGACCTGCTGGATCGTGAGCTCGCCGTACGAATGTCCCTTGTAGAGACGTCTTTCGACGGCGATGATCTTGCCACGGAACAGCACCTTGGCCGCCTCAGGCCCGCCGCACTCGTCGATCATCTGCTCGGCCATCGTGCTGACCGTGTTAGTCGCTCGCGCCCGCGCGATGCAGCGGCCAATCCGCCAGGCCAGCGACACGGTGTTGAGCACCGCATAGTTGAGGATATGGCGCTTGTTCGTCGGTTTCGCGGCCATACCTACGCGCGAACCCATCTCGGAGCAACTGGCTCTCAGCGCGCGATCGACAATCTCGTCGTTGGTCGTCCGGGTCATGAGAATGGTCTTGCCATCGCCGGACGCAATCGCACACGGAACCAGAGCGCCCTCTTCAAAGGCGCACAGCGTCGTCTGCCAGTACGTCGGATAGGCACGACCTAGATCACTAGTTAGAATCTCCCTGATCGTCTAGTATCAATTAAAGCATACCCATAAAATCTGCGTCCACCGTCGGACAGCCCAGATTCTTGGTCGATCCCAGGGCCAGACCCTGCAGCCCGTTGGCACCGCCTATCTCCAAGTCGACAAAAGCGTCGACCTTCTTGTGGCCAAAATACTCCATCAACTCAGCCACCGCCTGTTCAGTTTCATCGTTGGCCAGACGCTCCACTGAGACGGCTGGCGAACCCATGTGTCCGCCCCCTACGTAATCCAAAGTGTTAGCGCGTTGACATTTCTCTCTCTTCTCTTTTCTCTATGAGCAGCTCTCACGTACAGTAGACAAGCGCGTCATCCTTCAGCGACGACGCATCAATCACTCGCATCTTATACCCTGCTCGGATCTGGTCCCTCAGCCGTAAATATTCACTGAACGGAGAGCCTCCGCCAGCACATCCCAGCACGTAGCATCCGTCCGCAAGCCATTCGAGATCCAGCTCAGAGATGATCCACTCGTCGACACCGGTCTCGGGGTTCTTGACCACCGTTGGGCGATACGTATCAATATCCACTGCAGGAGCCTCTTCTGCTCCATCCCGTGCGGACCGGTCTTTCTCAGCTTCAGTGTACATATCCTCATCCGTCTCGCCATCGTCCTCACTCGTCCCTGCAGCAATATTCGCAGGGAAGCCGTCCGGAGACAGCTCACCCACAGCCCGCACAATGACTCTCACCTGGTTGGCCACGTACTGCAGAGGCATGGTATCCACTTCGGCAACGTACACCGTCTCGCGACTGGCACCAGCTGCCACTGCCCGTTCAATAGCCAGGGCCTTGGCCTGCTCCACGATTTCGCTGACTGACTGCTGGGACGTATTCTGGATGCTGTCCACAGTCCCTCCGACCTTGGAGATGGCGGCCCCAACTGCATTGGCAACTGAATGGAACGGCGGACAGACAACCGAGGAGACGCCTTCTAACTCTGTCGGCGCAATAACGGAGCCACCCCCGACCAGTAGGACGGGGAGTGGTGCGGGCGAGGTCTTCATCATGTCAATGACTCGTTCGAGCATCGCCTTCATCCGGGCCTTAGCCCGGGAGACCGTCGTCTGGCTCAGGTGCCTGACCAGTTCGGGGTTGCCAATCTTCTCGCCGGCAGCCACAGCAATGTCCGTGGCCGTCAGGGTGTCTCCACCAAAGACTGTTGCTCTGGAATCGAGAAAGTGGCCCACGGAATCTGGCCCAACAGTCACTTTGTCTCCATCGACGCGGACGATGGACCCGCCCCCGAGTCCGATGGATTCGATATGCGGCATGCCGAAGTTGATCTTCACGCCAGCCACGGTAACATAGGCCGACGCCTGACGAGGGAAACCCGACGGCAGGAGCACGCCGACATCCGAGGTGGTACCTCCGATATCAACAACGATAGTCGCCGTCCGCTCCTTTTTGTCTTCTCCAGCGTCCTGCAGACCTAGATACGCGGCGCCGCGCATGGAGTTTGTGGGACCGGAGGAGAAGGTCCGGATGGGCAGCCGCGCCGCAGAGGGCGCATCGATCAGAGTACCATCATTCTGGGTAAGATAGAGGGCACAGTTGAGGTTCAGACGCTTCATGGCAGCGCGGAAGCCTCGGATGGTGCGCCGGGCGAATTTGAGAATGGATGCGTTGAGGATGGAAGCATTCTCGCGCTCGAGAAAGCCGATCTGAGAGACATCGGAGGAGCAGACGACATCCGCACCGGGCAACTCCCTCTGGACAATCTGGCGGACGCGATCCTCCTGGTGGAAGTGGTCGTCGATGGGGGAGAAGACGCCGGAGATGACGACAGCGTCGATCCCTTTCTTGCGGATGAGAGCGCACTGCTCGACGACCTGCTCCTCCACGATGGGCGCTTCCTGGGACCCGTCGATATGGAGGCCGCCGTCAACGTAGCCGTAGTGACCGTTCATGATCTTGGCGAGGGCCGGAGGGAAGTCAGAGAAGGGGGGCACCTCGCGGGTGAAGGACTTGGACAGGCGGATGATGGCGACGGGCGCGAGACGCCGGGCATCGTGCTCAATGATGGCATTGATGAAGTGGGTGGTGCCAATGGTCAGACAGGCGATCTGGCTGGGCGGGATCTGGCTCTGGTCGAGGACGCTCTTGACGGCGGCCTCGATGCCGTCGGTGACATTGGGACTGGTGGTGGGCGTCTTGTGGAAGGCAATGACGCCGCGATTCGGGCCCTGGGCATTTCGCACGTCGAGGATGACGGCGTCAGTGTTGGTGCCGCCGACATCGACACCAATGCGATAGGAAGAAGCCATTGATGAAATCCAATCAATTGGGTATGATACCAAGCCCCTCCTCAAGGGGAGTAAAGACAGTGGGAGATGAGGGATGCTCCTGTGGACGGCTCTAGATGTGCATACTTGAGTTCTCATCTGCATTTATCTCCCAGCGAGAAGGCAATGCTAGATCGCATCATAACGTTGCCCCCATCCGCTAAGCTGTCGACACTGCGGGGCAGACGCAGCAGATCCGCTCGTCAGTGGAGCTCACAGGGCAGAGATAGGAAAGGTAGGTACCAGCAGGGTTTCAGGATGTCTTCTCAGAATGCTCTGATTGGCGTTCTCACGATAGACAGTCTGCTTGTCCCTTCTTCCTCCGACCTGATCCATGCCTCTGCATGGGCCATACCGGGGAATCATGGTGGTGGCCTATGTGTTTTGTCGCTGATAAGAAGGAACGATCGGTCGGCAATCCCCCGAGCAGGCTTAAGGTTGCTGAACCGATCCGGAAGGCGCCATCGGCAATGAGCACGTGGATTTCCCGAACCATGCACCGCACTTGCCTTGCTAGTCAACTACCCGATCAGGAAGGTCGAACCTACGCATCATCCATGCTCCTCCAATGTCACGATTATTATATTAGCCTAATTACTATGTGCTATAAGATTCTTTGATAGAGAATGTTAAAATATAGTTAATTTGGTTAATTAAGGTTGTCCACTACCCAAGGTACCTATATACTTAGGTATCTATTCAAGTAACCAAGGCAGCTTAGTAGTTAGTACATACAAAAAGATCTATTGCCTTGCCTTCCTTCAACAATGAATAAATCAACCATTCTTCTGAAAACGAATAAATCATAATATCAACATTAATATCAACATTAATATCAATTATACCCTCCAAGACTGCGACCATATTAACGAATGAGAAAAGA